CAAACAGCGGCAGCGGTAGCGACTAAGCAGCGGTGGCTAAGAGGCTCGGTAGAGCGACGGCAAACCGCAGCCGCACGGCGTGCAGCAGCTACGACACAGCGACGACGACACACACGGAGACGATGATGACGCTAGGGCCAAACAAGATTAGATTAGATCGGATTAAGGCCCTAGGGAAAACCTCACAGGTGAACGGCAAAGGAGCGGCGGTTGCCGGCGAACCACGGCACAAACGCAAACGGAGGGCACCGGGAGCGAGAGGGGATCAAAGTGACCCTTACCACCACTTATGCGACGACGAACGGCAACGGAAGATAGCCGGCGACGAGCTTCAAAGGGCGGCGAGGTACTGTCCACGGAGGCGATGACTTTCCGGCGATGTGCGGCGACAACGGAGGGGTGGCCGGGCTTCACTTCGCAGCTGCGAATCCAATGGAGTCGATGGCGACAGAGGGCGATGACGGGAGGAGCAGCAGGGCTTCGCCGAAGATCAAAACGCGACGGCGAACTTCGGGTTTACGGCGACGATGGAGCTCCGGTGGATTTTGGCTTCGGGGAGATGGCTGCCGGGCTTCCTCTCCTTCTTGCGAACCCAACGGCGGCAGCGGCGACCAAAAGCGGCGGCTAAGGCGGCTGCTAGCTGCGGCTGGAGACACAGCGACCACGGCGGCGCTCTGGTTCACGACGACGGGCAACCTCCGGTGGGATTTGGCGCAAAACAACCGGTGGCCGAGGTAGCTCTCACCCTTGCGAAGCCGAGGGAGGCGACGGCACTGACCGGCGATGGCCGGGGCGACGGCGCACGGCGGCTGGAGCGGCGCCGGCGACGACGGCGGGGTGGAGCACGTGGCGGCGGCGCTACGAGGCACGGGAGACCACGGGAGAGGGGGCAAACGAAAGAGGAGGACTAGGGGGTCCTTTATATAGCCATGGGAGCTCGGGTCCGGGCCCAAAACGACGGGAAAAACTCGGGAAAGTTTAGATCTTCGCCGGAAAAAGGAAAGGTTGAACCGCGAAATTGGAAAGGATTTCCATAGAAACTTTTGGGGATTTCTTAGGGAAAAGGAAGAGGAGATTGAGAGGATTCCATTCCCGCAACCAATTTGGAAATAGGAGCAACGGGGAGGTCGGATTTTGGAAGGTAATCGGCGGCACTGTGCACGGCACGGGAGACAGTCGGCTGGAGGAGGAAGATGGAGTACTGTAGCGCCAGGGACGAAAAACAGACTTCTATGCGGCTGAGAGGAAGGGAGAGAATAGGAGGGAATGGGCTGAATTCGGCCCAAGCTGAGGAGGAGGATTTTTATTACTTTTCCAAATAAATTAACCAATGAGATGATCTTTCAATTGTTAAAAATATTCCAATGCTCAAATAATTCCAAGAAAAATCTTGAACATACTTGGACACTCAAAGTATTTAATATAATAATATCCAGATCATTTAATGATTAATTTATTTTTTAAATAATTGCTAAACTGTTCTTTGTATTATTAACATTAGGAATTGAGCTCCGAAAATTCCGAGAAAATTTCAGAGAGTATAATTAACCATGGAGAATTTAATAAAAATTAAATCCATCCATGCTTTATATTTAGGAAATTTTATTTCCCACATTTAACTTCACTTGTAAATTAATGAACATTTAATATAAATTCTATTAATGATTTATTAAATAATTTATAAATCCTGAAACGAAAAACAGGATGTGACAACTTTCCACCAGGATTTTAGGGCAGCAAGCCGAATAGAGTATGGCTGTGGAAGGTCTACAAAAACCTTGTAGGGCTCGCTTATGTTATCGTTAGCATGAGGGAATATATCACCACTGTCTGATGTGAAAAAATCTATGGCCTCTTCCATGAGGGACTCAACAGTGTTACCCTCTTTTTCAATTCGCAAGACTAAATTCCTTGCTCGTTCTACGTAGGACTGAAGGGAAATACTATCCCCTTTTTTATCTCCCTTTCCTGTCCTTGGAACGTGCATATCAGAGCTGACTAGGTTGTTAGGGCCTGTTTGGTATAACTCCAACTCCTAAATATAACTCCAGGAGTTGAGTTTAGAGTGGAGTTGTGGAGCTGCCTAAACCCAGCTCCACAACTCTAGTACATTTTGTGAGAGAGCTCCACCCAACTCCACTCCCAGTTTTAGTGGAGCTGAAACTGTTTGGCTGAGCTCCAGCTCCAGGAGGGGTGGAGCTGGAGCTGGAGCTGTGCCAAACAGGGCCTTAATGCTGGCGCTCCTGAGAGCCCATGGTTTCTCAATGCATTTCATAACTCCGGGGACGAACAGCACAATAGCTGCCTGCAACAACTTCTTGTCGCCGCCTGGCCATGACTTGCAGAAGACGTAGATGGACACGGTGATCTGGCATCAGAAAAGTATTGTTTTCAGCACCTAGGCTCTTGCATGTTTCTATATGGACTTCTAGCATAAGTGCATAACAATATATTTAACCATTTTTTAAAAAAGAAATCTATAACTATTTAAGCTACATTTACTACTAGCTAGAAAATCAATCATCAGTAACGGGTCAAAAAAGTTATGTGTAATGGGTGAGTGAACCGATAAAAATAATTGGTCAGTGCTGAGACAAGTCAAACATATAACGGTTAATTAAATTCTATTTGCCACTCTTACAAGTGACACAACTAAGGATTTGGGCCCACGTGTCATAGACTGCGAGTGGCAAATCTTTAATTACCACATCTTAAAAGTTGCAAAAAGTTAAATGCTGATGTGATACAGGTTATCTATAACGGTTCATTACATATACATAAAATAAGGAAAAAAATCCTAGCTGCTCATCGATGCCACCGTGGTGTACAAACAAACTAGAACAAAGTGTCCTGTCCATAACGCTTCGGCACTTAGAGGGGTTTTCGGTGCAAACGAGCCTATTTAATTGATAGGATAAAACTAAGAACCGGTATATAACCACTCATTGGTGTCGGTTCATGAAAAAAGTTGACACCAATAATCCCACCAAGTGATAGGTGCAGGGATAAACCGGCACATATCGATGTCAAATGTGTCGATCGGTTTGCAACAAAAGTTAGCACTTATGAGTCCATAGGTATTGGTTTATAATTAAAACCGGCACATATGATGACTTCACTATTTTCTATCATATAAAGTCAGATGAAGAAAATTTTATATCAAATTTGTAGAGCTTGAAGGTATCTATAACGTAGTTATAACCTTTTCATTTAAGGTTGCCTGGATGTCTAAAAATGTGTTATAAATTTTCATATTTAACCAAGAAAATTTTGAAAATTTTTAAATGATCTCAGATGACTCAAAATCTATGAAAGTTGCAGATCTTGATGAGTTCTACAACTTTATAGTTGACCACATTTTCATTTAAATTAATCTATGTTCTTAAATATATAATTCATTAAAAGGGAGTAGTGGTAGTGGTGAGTGATGAATCTGTCACCACCCCCACCACCAACTCCCTAGTCCCTACCGTTGTTTAGAGTGAAGAAATGACACATGTTGTCAAATGACCCATATGTCAATCACCCCTACTTTTTGTGAGAAGGACAAATGATATTGTGAGGACATAGGATCAATATATTAGGTACAAATATATGTAGAATTTAATAAATGATGTATACCGAAAATAATAAGAATAACTGGTTAATGATCATTTTCATCAATTAAAATCCTGTTACAACACACGGGCAATATGCTAGTGTATTATAAGTTTTGTATGAGAGTTGTCTCAAATACTAGCTAGGTGAGATGGTAAAAAGGCTTTGGATGAAGAGAGAGGTCTTGGGTTCAAATCATGCTAACAACATGCTCACAATACTGCCACCATTAAGAGTGTCATGGTCGCCGGTTTTATAACTAACACCAATGACTACCCTCAATACTTCCACTATATTTATGCCCGTTCTAAAATTGACACATATTAATCGGGAGTTCAGAACCGGCACCAATGAGGGTGTCTCTACTAGATTACTACTCCCTCCGTCCTAAAATATAAGGGCTTTCGGATGGATGGGACACATCCTAAATCACCGTCGCTGCATCCACTCCCGGCCACCTCTTCGTCTGCGGTGCCGCCCCCCGCTGCATGCTCCCGGCCAGAGGAGAGGAAGAGAGAGAGAGAGTCTGCGGTGCCGCCCGCCGCTGCCCGCTTCCGGCCAAAAGGAGAGAGAGAGAGAGAGAGAGAGGGGAGGAGAGGAGGAGGTGAAAATAATATATGGAGAAGAGAGGAAGATAGAGAGGAGAGAGGAGGTGAAAAAGTTTGAAGTTGTGAGAGGGAAAAGAGAGAGGAGGGGAGAAAAATATGTGAAGAAGAGGGAGTATTTTCGCATGTGGCCCATTTAAGAGACCTGCATGTGAAAATAGGCTCATTTTGCATGCGGCGCCTTAGGCACGCCTGCGAAAATAGTTTTACATGTGGGCCTCTTAAGGAGCCATATGGGAAAATGGAGGTTGTTTTTTTGCAGGCGCAACCAGTTACGGTCCGCATGTAACCTATAGGGCTCCTCATACAAAAAAATTATTTCTGTAGTAGTGATGGTAGTATATATAGAGTCCTTTAAGAAACAAGTGCAAATGCACTTAGAGCAAGTACAATAGCAGGCTATAAATACATGTGGAGGAGATAAAAGAGAATAGAGAAAAAAAAGTGGCAACAAATTTATAGCCAGCTGCAACACGAACTCTAATACGTTCTATGTGTATGGGAGGTTGGACCAGATAATAATGGTTTAATATATGTTTATATGCAAATATAGTATAAATAGACTATTAGATTGACTATAGATGATGTGTCATTTTTTGGAGTTACAGTAGTTGACTATATTATTAAACTTTCTTAAAAATCCATGTCTGACCTGGCACGTCATGGTGACGACGTTCCTCCTCCAGAGCTCGTTGTCTTCGATGTTGTATGCAGTGATGGAGTCTTGTCCACCAAGATGGATTAGGAGAACGGGAGCCCACACCACTTCCAGGATGCTGCTATTGCCCTGTTCTGTAGAATCTTCGTTCTTGTGGCGGTTGAAGAGGGTGGCCAGGGCATAAATCGCCATGGCGTCGCTGCCAAGGTAAGCAAGCCATACTATAAATCTGAACCGGGGATAAGTAATATGCTTACGCCTGTTAGCAGTAAGGAAAAGGAGCAGTTGAATGATTGTGCTGGCAATGACGAGGATGCGCAGCTGCGACTCCTGCCACCATTCAATGGCACTTGAGAGACCCATTGATCTCTCTCCCTCCCTACCTACTTAGCTATACTATCTAATATCTATCAATAATATCGCGCTCTGTAGCTCTCTAGCTATAGCTACCTATTAATACAGGGCCAAGAAGTGTGTACAGGCCGTCAGAGGTCGACTGATTGTGTTGACCTTGATTCCCGGCTAATCCAATATAGGGTGTGTTTAGTTCACGCTAAAATTAGAAGTTTGGTTAAAATTAGAACGATGTGATGGAAAAGTTGGAAGTTTATGTGTGTAGGAAAATTTTGATGTGATGGAAAAGTTGGAAGTTTGTTGAAAAAGTTTGGAACTAATCAAGGCTACCTATTAATACAGGGCCAAGAAGTGTGTACAGGCCGTCAGAGGTCGACTGATTGTGTTGACCTTGATTCCCGGCTAATCCAATATAGGGTGTGTTTAGTTCACGCTAAAATTAGAAGTTTGGTTGAAATTAGAACGATGTGATGAAAAAGTTGGAAGTTTATGTGTATAGGAAAGTTTTGATGTGATGAAAAAGTTAAAAGTTTGTTGAAAAAGTTTGGAACTAAACAAGGCCATAAGTAAGCCATAGTCCGGAGTCCGAGCGATAGCTGCAGCTACGTTATCACATGCATCAATACTTAAGTTGCACTAATGTCAATTATATTGCTCGATTCCGCTCGACTGGGGCGCCCTAGCTAGCTAACAGAATCGTTCGTATATTTTGCTTGACTGTGCTCTTGTGGACTTGTTTAAGTCTTAACATATTACTATTTGTTTATACTACTAGAATGGGTTCGCGTGCTACGCGCGCGGCAAAAAAAAATATTAGAGAGAACAATAAATATTACGTGAAATATTAGAGAAATATAGCGCATACATAGGTGCACTTTGATATGTCAATGATGATTTATCGGTTACATGGTACATTATTTCATAGAGCACCAATATACATAAGGCACAAAGAGGGGGAAAAATAATTGTAATAAGAACCCATTCAGACAGTACAGACCCACTATAAGTCCATGTGCAAGCTTCTTATCCTATTCCAATCCACAAAAGAAGCACAATAGCATGAATGGCTGCCTGGTCATGCAAACATGAAAGGGTTATACCTATGTTGGAAAATATAACTCACATAATAATTTCTTTACAAAGCAGTCTTGATTGAACAGTCATAACATCAAACCAAATAGAATGAACATAAAAGAAGAATATATGGAACAGGAATGATTATTGGTACGCATCACCATGGTTTTGCCATGCTCCTGTGACATACTAAACCTAAAAAAAGTGTTTGTGCTCTAGAATAACATAAGACCAAGGACGTTGTGATTTATTAATGTTTTATAAAGAAATAATATTAGTTATTTAGTAGGCAACCAAGATTTATATCAAACCTTTGAAATTACACCATGGTATGGGTATTGTTTAGCAATGATACACATATATCACTATAAGTATACTATGCGAGCACACATCAAACCCTATAGCAGGGTAAGGATGAGAAGTTCAATGTAACTCCTAGGAGTAGTATAAAAGAATTAGAACTTAGAAGAGAATGGTGCAAACAAGAATAAGAATCTCATGATGCTAAGTTTCTTCTTAGTATCTCACTTTTTCCTTTTCAAAGAAGTAAGAGCAACTCAGGTGTATTGAACAAGGTAACAAATCAAGTATAATCACCCTTTGTAGCGCACTCATGATCAACTTTTGGTTTGGGCACAGAATCAGCACGAAAAATTGCTAAATATTTTTGATGTGGCAGTCTAGCATCCTTTAGAATTTCAACTTCAAATTCAATGTTTCAGAAGAGGCAAACATAAATAGTGAAACGCCTGCCCAAGGATAAAATTTGATAGGAGGTAATAATCACGGACAAAAATTTGCATCAGCCTTTAGTCAAAAGCAAGCTGGGGTAGCTAAAGATCAAACCCAAGGCAAAACGCATGAACCAAAAGGGAACAAATAATGTACTAATAAAGTAGGATAACACAACATATGAGCTGAGAATGGCTAACATCAACAAATAGGATTCTTCAGTCATTTATCGGTTTGGACTCAAAAAAGCAGCATTACCTGGGAATAATAGTTAAATTTATCAACCCATCTAATCGAACGTGCATGTGGTTACTTCATTGCGTGCTATGAATGCTGTTCCTGGTATATATTGCGTTGACACTTGTTGGAGTTCTAATTACAGGATCTTAGGCTTTAGTTTACAAACAATCACCTCTTATTTATGCGGAAAAATAATTGATCTAATGACCTGTGTTTGAAGCCATTGCTGTTCTTCTTTCTTCTTCTTCTAGAGATGCCTCACAAACCCCTTCCAGTGCCTAGATCGATCGGGCGATTAATTTAGGGTTTGAGATTAGAGAGAGAGAGTTCGGTCAACAGCCTCCTTCCTTCTCTTTCTTTATATAGGCGACACTAGTGGGGCTCGGGGGTTATCTCAATTAGTTTAGAATTCGTTTTCTGTACCGATCACACAAAAAACGAATTTATCTCTTAGTTTGTTTCTTGTTAGGATAAGGAAACCGGTGGTTTAGATCCTCTCCTAACCCTTATCGACACAAGTCGACAAAATCAACCAACAACACTTAGATACACAGGTACACAGGTCTTAAAAAAAGAGCACATAGGAACCAACTGACCTGGTGCGTCTAGGCCGCCTCAACTAAATGTGTTCCATACTCCTGAAGCATCTCATAGAGTAACAGGAAAACTTTCGACCGGTCTTTACGACTTGAGCAGTTTTCATCTGATTGGCTCGTTTCTCCGATGCCAAGGGATCTGGCCTCTTTCTGAGCCCACCTCTCTCTTTTTGTCATTGCAGTATTTGGTTTGTCTTGAACAGGCAGAGCGGCGGACCTCTTCCTGGAGCATTGCTGAGCGGCATCATTCTTAGATGAGGGAAAGATGTCTAGTGATATTCTCAAGATGTACAAAGCCTGCTTCCTCACTAAAGAATCCTTGTCAACCTGGTGTGAAGAGGCTAAGCATGTCAGCACAATCAACAGGATGAGTATAAAGAGTAAAAGGCTAACATAAACTGAGTCGGGGCAGAAAGGCCCACCAGTCCCCTGCGAATTTCATCCCAAAATTCATTGGAATTCCTAAGATCATAGTCTTGGGGCTCGTGAGGTCCTGAGAAAACATATTTCAGTGTTGACAAGTAGAGAGAGAGAGAGAGTATGTTATAAGCATCCAGGCACTCAGCAGGCCTCAGTGCAAAGAGAGAATGGCACGAGGCCCATATAGACTCCAAGAAGCCAGACCTGCACGAGACAAACCATCGAAATTAACATGCACAGCATCTATAGAAGATAGAAAGCTGATGAGGAGCAGGCCAACCTTGAGAGCTTAAGCTGATGAGGTGCACCTGTGACTCCAGGTCCATAAAGAGGATTGATGATACATGACATGAGGTGAGTACCCTGTATGTGATCCAATGTACTTAAGGCTGAGAATTCAAGAGCTCTGGCTGTCCAAGACACGACCAGCGGCAGGAATGTCCTGCACTACAGAACTTCTGCACAGTACAGTGCGTGTTTAGCATGCTTTCTTGCAACAATTCATCCACCATGCATTACTTTTCAGTTAACGGATTACACAAAAACAAAACTGGGAGCAAGGTCATCAGACCTGTTAATTATCACATAAGATCTCTTCCAATCCTGACTGAATCTGAAGTAAAATATGAAAGAAACAACTCTAATTAAGTACCAACAGGAAGCCTAAACAAAAACCATAGATCCATAAAGTCATAGAGAGGATTTGATGCTACATGACATGAAAATATGAGATGAGTACTTTCTATGCGATTCAGTGTACTCAAGGCTGGGAACGCCAGTCCAAGAATTTTTTTTTTAAAAAAAATGTGTTGGCTAGAAGGAGCTAGCCAACCGATGGAATTAAGATAGGAAAAGTCACATATTTTCAATCCTTCATTTGATCCAGACGAAAGGTGAAGGGTTTAGGAGTGTTGACAACTGAACGCATGTGTCAACTGCACCGTAAACACATCTCCTAGTCCAAGAATTTCCAAGGCAAGAGAGAGCTGTGCATGTTTAACATGCTGCCTTGCAAGTTGCAATCATTTATCCGCCATGCATTATTTTGCTCTTCACTAATTCTATGTCATGACAGGAAAACAAAAGTGGGAGAAAGATTATCATACCTGCGAATCACCAAATAAGATATGTAATCTCTTTCAGTCCTGACGAGCACGGAACACCTGGAACTATACCTGGAACAAGTTGAGTTTCTGAAACCAGCGAAGAGCTAATGCGGCACAGCTGCTTCTCTCCGCCCTCCCGCCGCCACCGCATCGTGCAGAGGATAAGGTAAAGGGTGCACGGAGAAGTCGAGGGAGCACGAGCACCATCCCCGGCGCCAGAGCCCGGAGCGAGGGCAACCAAATCCACCGGTGGGGAGGCCTAGACCATTAGCTCCGCCCGTCCTCGAACCAGATCGGGCACCGAGCGGAGTGGAGAGCGTGAAGGAGCGGGAAGCGGTGGGCGCGTGGAGATGAAAGGGGAGAAGGGGGAAGCGACGGCCAGCACCACTCTTGTCCGGGTGGCTGGATCTTCCGGCGCGGCGAAGATGGCTAGAAGAGCGTGGAGCTGCGGCGGCGGCGGCGGCGCATGCGAGGAGAGGAGAAGGGTGAGGCGGTGCGTGGGAGGGAGGAGGTGAGGCGGCACGTGCGAGCGAGCGCGATTGCGCGAGACGGCGAGAGAGGAGAAACGGGCGACGTGGGAGGCTCAGCTATAGCTGGCCAAATGAGCGGCCCGGCCCAGCACGGCACGGGCCCACCAAAGGCACGGCCCAATAGGGCACGGCCCGTTAGGCACGGCTTCATAGCGGGCCGTGCCGTGCCAGCCCACGTGCCCTCCCCCGGCCCAGGCACGGCCCAAGGGGATGCCGTGCCGTGCCGTGCCGTGCCGGCACGAGTCCATTAGTGGCACGTGGGCCGGCGCCGGCCCGAAGGCACGCGAGAGCCCGAGAGAGGAAGCACCTGGTGCGAAAAGTCGCGTCGTCGCCTACCACCCACCTGGCGCAGGACGCGTGGAGGCGAAAGATTGGAGCCGTGGCTCGCCTGACGCGGCGCGGCGACAACGCATGCATGCGTAGGAGCAGGAGATTTAATGGTTTTTGACGTCCCCGAGGTCATTTTGGGGGAAGTATCGTGTGCCACTTCCCAGTGGGAGAATGCAATCAGCAAGGTGGATCACCAGATGCGAAATGTGCGGCTTGGATTGAAGCGGGTCATGAGCTAGGATCACTTTAAAATATATGCAGATGCCCCCCAAAGTGTCAGTGCGCATTTTGCACGCAACACCCCATAATTCACTCTCTTCTACTCCATAGTCCCCACGAAATTCCCCTTTCATCTCATCGAATCAAACACAATAGAGATGAAGGCGAAATGTACGCGATGCCGAACGACTCCCTCGTCGGCCCCGCCACGGAGTGGGACAAGCGGCGGGCGAGATCCAACGAGTGGCTCCGCCGCGCGGTCTACAGCTCCGCCCGTGACCTCGACGACGCGCGGGCCAGCCCCATGGCCGCGCACGCGCCGCTCCGCTTCTCTGTTGCGCCGACGGCAGCCGCCAAGCCCAAGGTCGTCGGTACATTTTTTAAACTTTCAAGTTTCAATGTTCCATAGATCTAGAACAACTACCTTTCCTTTTGTAAAAAAATTTTTCAGGGATTTTTTCGTTATGTCTACCGTTGGTGCTGATATGATTTTTATTACTTGGCCGAGGAGGATTCAACATTTTTATCCATTCTTCACACGAGGTAGAAGCAGATCTCGGTTTACTGCTCCAGATTCTTGTGAACCAACGGTTAAGCGAGTGTAGGTTACAGAATGAGTTATGTTTGTACATGCACTTTTTTTTGTTCTTATATATGATTTAGTTTCTTTCGTCCTTGTCCTGAAACTTTCTGTAATGTTCCACTCTCAGGAAAGCTTCCACTGAAAGGAGAGAAGTATTCTTTGAGGCTATGTCTGACAAAGTAGCAGATAGTTCTTCTGAGAGAACGACTAGTCCTTTAGAATCAGACAGCGACGCATTTTATAAAAATCTTGATCCCCTCTTTTCTGTATTACATTTTTGTAAGTTGTTAAGTTCAAAAAAAATCAAGAAGAAGAGTTAAAAGATTAAATTGAATTCTGCAGGGTAAACCAGATTAAACCAGAAGATGTGGTTGCCCAGCGAGGATGAGGCTGCTGAAATGTGCTACTGGTGGTTATTATGTCATAACATTAGATGTGCTACTGGTGGATAGATATTAACGTTTACATAACATTCTTCTTCTTTTTGATCAAATTGATAGGGAAAAATGGTGCAAAACGACGTACAGTGTGATTCTTGATAACACATGTCAGAGTTAAATGAGGGGAACAACCATGGGAAGGAATGGATCAAGCTAAAACAAGAACTATGGTTCAGATCGAAGCCTTACCCTAACATCTTGGGCTCCTCGCTGCTCCACGGTGACCTTTCCTTCTTGCCACGGATCGATCCCTGAGCTCTCTCCCCACCGAATCGATCCACTTACCTTTCCTTCTATCTCTGTCCCAGACCTCGCCGCCAACAAGCTAGCGGCCCCTCACCCCGCCGCATACCGGCTAGAAACACAACGGCGACGAGGTGCACTAGCGCCCAACCTGAGACTGCGCTGCCGCTCAGTGCGACGAGCCGAATCCACAGTGTACTAGAAACCCTAGCCCTCAATGGGGAAAGCTGAAATGTTTTGGAGAGAGAGGAGAGTCAAATGTTCAGCCTTGGCTTCTGCTATAATAGAGGGACTGAAAGCATTTTGGCACATAACATAGGGACATTTTTGCATAAACAACCAACAATGTGGGAAGTGTTTCGATCTGAGCAGTACACTTTTCATCCGACGGTCCACATTGAAGATTGCATTTCTCCCACCGAATAGTAGTATTGCAATGGATACTTCCCCGGTCATTTGACCAAAAAAAATGCGAAAAGAAAAAGGATGCACGTTGGTTGGGTACATGCATGTTTTTGACTGCGTCCGCCTGCTGCCGTTGGGCTATTGCGGGCTGTCAGGCTGTGGTTGGTGGCTGGGGGTGGCGCTGCGGGCTTGTGCCGTGCCGGGCCATGTGACGTGCCGTGCCGTGCCGCTACAGTAACCATGCCGTGCCGTGCTGACCCACGGGCTTTGGCGTCGGCCCAGGCACAGCACGCCCGGCCGGGCTGTGCTGGCACGGCCCATTAGCTCGCGGGCCTGTGCCGTGCCGTGTCAGTTTGTGTGGCATCGTGCTTGGGCCGGCCCGACAAAGCACGGCCCATTTGGCCAGCTATAGGCTCAGCGGCCACGAAATCGACGCCTCGGCAAGGACGACCAACAGGGAGGCACGGACGGATGGATGAGGCCCAGACGCAGAATCGGACGGCCCGCAAGACGCCGAACCAACAGCAACATGTCTCAAGGTGATTGGTCAACAGTAGCCAAATCGCTGTGAGGCCGGCTAATCTAGCACCTTTAAGATATTTAGTATGTGTGCCAAGCTGCGCTATAGGGGTGGGTGAGCCAGTGTGGGCTTGTGTCAACTCTTACAGTGTATATATTTATATATACTCGATTACTAGCTAGAAGGAAGTAACGTATATAATTAAGATTAAAGTAAACGGCACAAAACCCTAATTTTGGCACATGGCATGCATGTATAATATATCACGGGTCTTATGGTATTGGTCGTGCTTCACAAAAACCCCATGGTTGACCAATTGTACCAAACCTGAACTGTAGGGTTCATATTAGGCTTATGTGGCATGTCCACACATGCGTCTACGTGTATCATGACTAGGATATGCATGCGTGGCTATCCCGAAATTTGATCTTATTTATGACCTAGCCCAGTAAAACATACTAAACCGATTACATTGAAGCATGGTCGTTCACGATCTTGTCATAAATACTGACGCGCGGTCGTTGATATGATGAATGTGTTGTAGCCACTAGATCCTCGAGCTTACGCTTGTGATCCTTGTAATTGATTCTGCTACCACACGCCCCATTAATTGCTGCCACTGTCCTTGGATTTCCAGCTACTGCTCGACTGCTTGGAGGCCCGAACAGCATCATCGGACTTAGCATACTCGTTGGCCTTCTCGAACATTTGCTTGACCGTCCTGGGAGGCTTGCGTCCAAACTTGCCGACGAGTAGGTCGTTGCGAACCCCTTTTGTAAACGCAGCAATGATGTTGTCGTCGGTGATGTCGGAGATCTTGTTACGCTGCTCAGAAAAACGCCAAATATAATCCCTAAGAGATTCATCGGGCCTCTAGATCACGTTGTGGAGTTCGAAGTGTGTGCTGGGCCGCTCGAAGGTGCCTTGAAAATTGGCGATGAAGTGGTCAAAGAGCTCGCCCCAAGAACCGATTGTGCCTCTGTTGACGGTCGTTATAGACCAATTTCAACCATCAATATAACTATAATAATGGAGAATTGACTATGCTTATAATGCATATTTGTTTTAGAATAATATAGTTCCACTTGTACTTGGAGAATAATTTGTTGCAGGAATTGAGCAAATAAAATAATGAAGAAATGAGGAAAACTCACTCCTATGCAAGCATATGGATAAGGAGGGCCCACATGTCAGGTGTAACCGTCAGGAAACCGCCTTAACTGTCAAAACCGCCATAAGGACCTACCTGTTAGCCACCATGCCAAAGCTGGAGGCCTGTTGGGCCGGCCCAGGTTCGGCCGAACCCTAGTGGTGATGGCTCAGCCGAGCCCTCTACGTGGACGTCCAGGATGCACTCTCAATGACGGTTATGGGGTAGGAAGGTCATTTCGCCTTTTCTACAACCGTCATACCGTCCCTATAAATGGAGGAGCTCATTTCACTTCACAACACACTCAAGCAAGCTCAAGATTCCTCTCATACTTTATTTTAGTAGTTTTAGTGCTAAGTGGAGTAGTATAGAATAGTTCTCATAGTCCTCGGAGCTTCCGGAAGAGTTTCGGTATGGCTCTATTAGCTTTTCTATTCTCTTCTGTAATACTTTCGGAATTAATGAAAAACTCTTCTTTATTTATACTTGGTAATTTACTTAGTACTTGGTACTTTACTTAGTATGAGTACTGCTCTTACTTTATATTTGTGTCGGTATAATTGTGTGGGTAGCCTACCAGAGAAGTGTAATGGTGTGGGTATAGTGTCCGATTCATCGACTACTCTATATCATCTGCAGAGGTGTAGAGTAGTATTTATTAATGTAACCATGGTGCTTAGATTAGTAAATATCATTATCTGGGCATATATGTTGTGGGATAGTAGAGGTGGGTCGCTGATGGTGACAGCTCAGTATGGTATTCCTCTACGTTAGTATATATTCATAAGACAAATTCCTGAGGAGGGTACTCCTCCGTATTTATCCCTGGTTGGACAGCAATGACAGGTTGTTGTAAGAAACTCGGCAACCCGGGGTGGTCTCTCGAAATACCAGGAGTGCACTGTTAGGGGGTATTGGCCACATGATTGTATACTAGCAAATGTAGATTAGAGTTTGAGTGTATATTAGAAGTATAGGAAATGAGTTCTTTCTATCTCTTCTCCCACTTAATTAGAATTATTTATTTGAGGAAATCTATAAGCTTCGCTTCGTGTCACTCTACCCTTGTATTAAATTAACCCCTGCCTAGACTTTGATGAAGGCAAGTAATATATATATGTGTATATATTAGCATGGTTCTCTCTTTCACAATCTTCCCTTGGGATTAAATAAATATGATACCTTGTAATAGTTCCGGGTGAAATGCTACAATGGTATATCCGTGCGCTTGCGGATTACTTCTGTAACCATAAATATACCAGGGTTATTTCTACGCCATTGTTGGGAATGAATATTTCTAGTAATATCGTTAAGAAATACTAATAGCCTCGTGGTAACCCAGCGAGCCAGTTCCGGGCCGAGTCAACAAACGCAACAGGTAAATAATACGCCATTGCCTTGCTATCTCCTCCTGCTGCTTGGATTGCGAGAGTGTAGATAGTGAGCCACGACTCGGGGTCGGTTTTGCCGTCGTACTTCTCGATACCAGTCGGCTTGAAGCCAGTCGGCCAATCCACTCGACACATGTCACTTGTAAAGGCAGCAACTCCTTCATCGTTCGCGTCATAGCGATCCGGTGTGTGGTGACGTCGTCAGTCGTCTCTTTCTGCTCGGCGACGGTTAAGGGTGTCACGTAGGTCGACAGGCTGCCGTGGACGGGGGGAGCGAGGCCGTTTGTGGTCGGCATGATGCTCTCGATGTCTGTTGGCGGAAGAGTGAACGGAATGCTCTCGATGAGCCCTGCCCCCGTGCTGTGATCTTGAGTTGGTGACGTTGAGACTTGGTTGACAATAATCCCGAGATCAGAGTGGTGGGACCCAAATGCCCGACGTTGTACGAACTGAACCAGAGGGCTGCCGAGTGCTTCCCGAGTCAACTAGGACCGACGCGGCGATCATCGTCTTTGTTTGATTCAGAATTTGAGCGACATTCTCTGGTGCTCCGGTAGCCATGAGGGTATCCAAGAGCGCGATTGCTGCAACCGTGTTCTGCTGTGGAGTACGGAACACATTAGTGCCATCAATGTTCTGTTATCCAATCAGCTCACATGCTCAACGCCCAGATGTTGTTAACAACCAAATTTGGTAATGCCACGCCATGGATTCAAAGCTAGAGTCAAAGCCGATTTGAAGAAATTCCGTTCGAGAAAGCAGAATACGCATCGGCTATAGGAGGTATCGGCTACCACATATCGATTAAGTGACAGATCCGACAGAGTTAAGCCGATGCAACCAGTCTCAGGAAAGATGGACCCACGTCCGTCATCGGGATTGGTCGAAGCACTTCATAGCTATTGCCACGCGAGGATTGGAGTCCTAAAAATGGGCAATTATATCTATTAATTAGGACATTTTTCAGTTTCCTTAGAGATATGTTTGGTAAGGGTCCACCTAAAGGACTTATTCGTATTTTAAGTTGTGTTAGAGATAAGAGTCGTATCCAGCAAGGACATATTATGTACTTCGGGTATAAATATGACCCAAAAATCATGTAATCAAATGATGATAGTTCAATAATACTTCGGCGCATCGCCACCCTTTTCTATTTTCGTTGTTTCGACGAGTTTTTGCTTTCGAGTTGGGCTGCATCGGGTTCGATCTCCGACGAAGAGGTAAAACTTGTTATGGCGGTTTGCGTTCTCGGGATTAGTGCTTACATCTTCATGACACTCTAATCATGTCTATGTAAACCGCCGAGTTATCATATATACCGCATAATCTAGATTGATCTCGTCATCTAAACTTCATCGGCTAGCCTCTATCATCGAAAATGGCTGCCAGGTTTAGGTCTCGATATCAAGCTAGACTATGCGGTGTATCTACCATATTGAATGAGTTTTCATCGATTTGCTTAGATCTTATGTTTCTTTTCATGCTTAATGCTGCATCAGTTAGGTTCGATCTGTTAAGTACTGTCTTGAAACATTTTATCTAGCTCTTTCTTTGATTGCTAATAGAGATAGCATCGGAGTTTCAGCCGATCTTACCTGATTTAGTCGTCTTGTTTTCTTATTTGGTTCTGGATCGTCTAAATATGCCCCTTATATCAAGATCTCACCCGTTTTAAATATATTAAGCTTCCTATCAATCTGCTAGTTCACCCTGCTCATTAGATTGGTTTCAGTTTTGTATATTTCATTTGTGCTGATATCTTGGTATAAAGTGGTATCGGAGTAATAGCCGATACAGGTTAGGTTTGCCCGATCGGCTATGCTGTGAACATATATAATCCCTACTTTGGGGCACATTTAGATATGGAGTGATTTATACTGTCTCGGTGCAGCGACCGATCAATCCCAATCACTCAATCTAAGTGTGTTCCATTAGCTAGATTATGTATCGTTAACATCTA